ATTTGCCATCTTTATATGTTGCATTCTCTAATTCAAATCCATAAATAAATCTTTCTTTACAATATTCTTTTTCATTTTCAAAAAGCTCCTTGTTTTTCTTGACTAATGAAAAAAAATAATCTTTTCTACTTTCAATATCAGAATTAACTGCTGCATTATTATACATTTCATTATAAATTTTATGTACAAATTCCTCTCTTTCTGGTGATAATGACAATAATAATTTAACATATGACATTATATAAAAATATAAAATATAAAATCCGGCTTGGTGTTTTAATAGAAGTGAAAAAATTTTTTTTGAGAATAATAATAACGGCTACATTATTTGCGGAATTGAGTGGCGTGTAACAAACAAATTCTCGTACACTTCCTGGTAATAATAATAATGGGGGTTTTTTTTTACAATTAAATATTTTATCGATTGCCTTTAAATTTTTTTCTAACAGGATTAATTGATAAAGAAATCTTGAAATAATAATTTCACTTTATCATTGCCAAACTCTAGTGATTGATAAAGAATTTCAGCATTCATTGTTTTCTATTTTAAATCTTCCAAATTAAAACTTACAAAGATCTGTTTTATGTATCAACATCGATTAGCCTATATTGTTTCAAAGTCTGATACTATTATGTGTAGTTAACTTCAAGTCAAAATTCAAAAAAAAATCAAGTTAACACAACTCGTATGGTGTAAAAATTCCCCCACACACTAATATTGACCTGCCTATGTGTGTTTCAAACTGAGAAGTCAACCGCAATTCGTTTTTTTTTCATTTTATGAAATGTAATAATAAAAGAAGAAATATTAGTGATAGTTTTAATTTGGAAAAAAAAAGATGCATTTTTATTTTGAAAGAAAATATACAAATAAATTTTTTAATTAGTTGAACTCCACTTTCATTCTTCAATGGGTAGCTTGACAATTTAGATAGAATCAACGCTCACCGCAGTTGGATGTTGAATTAAACGTAATTTTATTAATCAAAGCTACGTACATTATACAGATTAAAATGTCAAGTATATATAAAAATATACAGCCTAATCCTTAAAGGGAACCTACAGTTGTAAAAACCGGTTTGTCATATGTATATATATACACACACACAGTATACTACCGGTCTAATTATCTGAAGGTAATATCAGGCCCAGGTGTAATCTATCACTAAACAATCCTCCCCTTCCAGGATGGGATGGGATGATCAAACTTTTTGAGAGTGCAACATACCCTTGTATTTATTTTTTTCCCTTGTCCAATTTCCAAAAATGCCTTGTTGCTACTTTACATTTGCCAGCTACATCATTTATGAATCCTATTTACGTTTGTTACGACTTGAGTGAACTAACATATTAATTTCATAATAATAATAACAATTAGCTACAAATTTAATTAATCAAGTAAATTTTCTAATTCAGATTCTTGATCATCAAACGTAGCGTAGCATTTGTAAAATTTTCTATGATAATTATCCTTCTTGGATATTAACCTTTATTTATTCCCAGAACGCACATTTTTACAGTTGCTTTTATAATTTGGGAATTTTGATAATTCTATTTATCATTATCATTGTTGTTGTTGATGATACGTCAATATTCGAGGAGAAAAAGATGAATTTCGAATTGGACAATTTGATGATGAAAAGGAGGAAGTGAAGGAGGAATTGAATATGATTTAAATTGAATTTTTGTAATTTTTGTAGTTACTATCTAGATATTACTATTTACTTTTATTTTCTTGATTTTTATAAGAAATTTTCTTTGTTGCTTTTCCAAAGAGACCGTTTTGTTTTGCTACTAAACCTAATTACAATATATTAACTAGTGATATTTTATACTTTTGAATTCAATCCATTGATATCCGGTATAATTTTAGACACATTTCAAAATTTTGGGCGCTTATGTTATTCCAAGTTTTCATATCATGAAAACTGAAACTTTAATATGTCCTTTATACTAGTTAAGAAGCACTGTTATGTTCGTTAGACACTAAATTTATTGCAAAAGAAAATTGTCTAACGACAAAAAAATCTATAATAATCTCTTTACTTGTATCAAGTAGACATTCCTCAATTTGCTCAAAAGATAGTAATTAGCTGTAAATTTAAATAAAAATTTCACATCTTGATAGACATTCCAAGTTATTAGAGTTCCTTCTTCAATTGGGACAGTGCTCTCCTACAAAGTATTCTAACATTACTAAACACGTTGAGTAAGTTGTCAACGTCATTAGAAAGCTCTTTTTTTACATCTCTGGATGGAATTGAAAATGGTTAATATAACGGAATATGAATAAGATGAATAAAATATTTTTGATTTTGTTCTTGTCAACTCTTCCTATTTTTTTTTTTTTTTTGTTAATAAAAAATAGAAAAAAGAAAATACAAATAATCAATCATTTGTTTCAGATTAGAATGGAAACCTATTTATCTTTACAAAGGTATGGCTTCATTAAAGAGATTTTAACACAATTGTCAAATAAAATGTTTGAATGAGCAAATATTTCTATATCCTTATTATTCTCAATCTGATCTTAAAAATTGCATTTTCTATTGTTTTCAGCAGAAACATATAAAAGTTTACATAAAACAATAAAAGAAACTCTAACATGCAAATGATAAAAATAGTAAGTATAAAAAAATTGTAATATTGTAACCAATTACAAGATTAATGGCTGATTTTTATTATTATTCTATATAATAGATAAAACGAAAAATATTATAATAAAAAAAAATACAGAATCTATTGATTCGACTGTTCATATAATAAAAGACTTACATGCAATAAGGCTTATTTTTTAAAATAGATTTATGTATTTCAACTGAACAAGATAAATAAATTTATTATTGAGTTCCCATTTTATATTACAAAGTGAATTTTAATTGCTAAAATTATTATTGGAACTATCATGAAAAGTACACAGTTAAACTCGATAAATCGCCATTGATTATATTCAACAATATTAATTATTATTATATAAACAATAATAAACTTATTTATAAATTTATCATAATAATAAGATATTAAAATATTCAATGAAAAATAAATGCAGGTAATGATTTAATGCGAGTCCAACAAGAAAACGCGGTGACAACAATAACCAAATTTGGAAAAATAATGCGTTGTGATTTCCTATATCATCTATCATCCATACATATTATCATTTTTGACATATTCGAAAGAGAAAGTACTGTGACAATAAATAAAGCAAATTTAAGAAAAATATTTCAAATAAAGCGTCAGGAAAGATTTATCATTAAATATTATGACCAAATAAAAAAAGCGTTGTGACATTATTTATATTCAGATTATCAAATGACTGACTAACTTCGTTTGTTTTGTTTGCTATAACATTAATTTCACGGAGTGGTAACAAACACTAATTTCGTTTTGTTTGCTATAAAGTGTAACAAACACTAATTTCATTTTTGTGTAAACAACTGTGAAATTTTTCCACATACATATATGTTACTCGTTATAACATGTAATTATCATATACTTTTTAAAGTAGTTTTCAACCGGATTATCTTTTAAGTTTTCTGTCTCCTGCAACACTTTCTAATCTTGGTTTTTCAAAAAATATATATTGCAATTACTAAAGAAAATGAAGTAATAAATTTGTACTATATACGACAAATCAAATTATTTCACGAATTGTTTAGGAGCACTGATTTACAAGATTTTTCCGGTTTTATTATTATTATTATTATTAATTTATCGACGATCCAAAGCATGAGATAATGATTTTCATCTTTAAAACTACTGTATATTCATTGAATGTAACTTCATTCTATTTGTATCTTTATTTTAAAATAAAATTCAATCTGTACAACGAAACAATGAAGCCTACAAAATGACATGTTTAATAGTTGATTTTCTTTCTTTTTCCACAAATGTTCTAGTGTTGGTCAGAATGAAAGAAATTATTTTGAAAGAGAACCTCAAGAAAACAATTACCTCTTCAAAATGCATTCACACCTACCATCTACAAAACTCAAGGATCGACCCTACCTCGTGCAATCGTATCTGTCTGTAGATGAAAATATCTTTTCAGAAGGACAAGTATATGTGTTACTCACTCTAAACAGAGGAAATTCTTTTAAATTCTTTTAGATGGACTTCAAATCTTAAATTTTGATTATTCTCAAATTAAATGTTTCAAAAAGTGCCGCAAACAAAGATTAAAAAAAAATCAATAAATAATGGATTAATTAATTTATTAAATTAAATAATGCGTTAAATAAAAATATATTTTTAGATTATTAAAGTAAAACTTTAGTTGTAAAAATAAAAAAAAAAAAACTGCATGAAAACGAATTTGCCAAGTGAAAATTAAATTAACCAATCAAAAGATATCACACAAACTGTTCCATTGGACACAAATAAATTCCATTGGTCAATATCAATTTGAAGAACTATATTGGGAAAATTCTAATGTTCAATCTTGAAAATAAAACATTGCCAAATTAGTATAATCATTTAATGGCCATTTAAAATTTAAATTCGTAATTAATTTAAAAATTAACACAAATAATAATTAGTACGAATTCAAAAATTTACCAAAATATATCATTATCTACTTGCTAAATAAAGCATTGTTTGTATTTAGATTATCAAATGACTAACAACATTATTTTGCTCGTTATATATAATTTTCAATTTGTTTTCTGTGACGAACAAAACACTGATTTTGTTTTGTTCGCTGTGGAGTATAACTCCATTTTGTTGAGAACACTAATTTAAATTCGTATACGTAAAGAGTAATTATCTTTTGTTATTATTATAAAATGTAATGAATGGCTATTTTATTTATGCTCTGCCAAAAATTGTAACAAACACTAATTTCGCAAAAAATTATATATAACGCATGAAACTTTCGTCTCCACTTTTACATTATTTACATTCGCATCCACATTCGCATCCACACACACTCACTCTCAAAACTCCGATTTAAAATTTTTATAACTTTCCTTTAAAAATTTCATTAAAATTATTATTTCATAATGAAAGGTCATATAATCCCTTTTAGACAACCTTACTCTCTCTTTGACTTACTTTTTCGCCCTAAACGCGAATTCAAAGCAGAATGGCAACTCGATTATCATGGGTTTATGACTCGTGAAGAATTCGACATTCGACTTGAAGATATCAATAGACACATACGCCACCTCCCACTAATGACCGAGGTGGTAAGAAAAATTTTGTCGTACGTTGTGCTCGTATGTGCACTAGGACTGACGATTTATATGCTTAGAATTGGTCCAGGTGCTGGAGCATTATTTGGGTTATTCTTTTTTTTTGTTAGTTACTTTGGTGGATTATATTTGGTCGATCATCTTGCGGAACAACGCGCTGCACAATTTACCTCTGCATTGAAAACTCTATTCGTCACATACAACAATGTTGACAACCCAACCGCCAACTGGAGTGTCCTATGGGTAACTGCAGTAACCGGATGGAAGACAAAGACGACATCAAATGGATATGGAGGATCAACCAGCAGAACCAAACCCAAATTTGCCGAATATGTCATGATAGTGCTTGATATCAACGACGCTCTCTCTGACCTTACATCTAATACCGTTAATGTGAAATTCACTAATACATTCCCCAACAATGTGAATGGAGCCATTACAATGGCAAATAATATTCATGAAAAACAACAACAACAATTTGCTGGGAGTAGTATAAATATGATGGTATAATAACCATCTTTTTATTGATTTTATCTTTATCATCCATATAATTTCAATAATTTACAATACTATTAATATTGATATTATTAATTCCCACGAATCAATTGATTCTATAAATAAACTAATGCATATATTATAAATATTATTTGTAAAACAATAAAGTTATTTTTTATTTTTTCAACCCTTCTAATATTTTTCTTTGTCTATATCATCTCCATTATAGATTGGTGTCTAAATAATAAATTAATTTAGACAATTGAGATTGCGATGTCTAAAATATAAATTCCTGTACATTCTTTACGATAATGTCTGAATTTGGTTAGAATGTGCGCCCAGTATTCCTTACATTTAGACATTTAGACATTCATCTATAGCCTCCATTGAGAAGTTTGTCTGATTTAGTTGATATTATAATTCCTAACGAAATCTTTGCCAACTTTAACTTGATCTAGAGTTGCCTATGTTTTTAAATTATCGGATGTATTTGGTGATTCTAGATGAGCACATGATATGGTTGTATACTTTTTTTTTACAAGACAGCCTCTTTTGTCTCTAATGATATAAAAAAAATTAGGAAATACAACGATGAAATTTAAAAAAAAATCATCATATGAAGTTATATTGTTGGTCCGAAATAATTGAAAACTTATTCTTGTTCATTCTTAAAATCATTTAATATCATTTAAAGTTAGATGTTTGGATTTGTGAAATTAAACCGTTCATTAAACATTGTAATTATGCAATTCCTAATAAATGATATGATAATTGACTAAAATTAATCCTTCGATTTTTTCTCAAGTTGGATTTGTTGTTTCTCAATTTTATTCAATACATTTGAAAATGATTTTTATGGCAATCAATAACTTTTGAGTTGCATTCCATTCGGAGCTAGAGATATCATGAAATCATAGTGTTTTCATCGATTTTATTAATATATAAACACACAAATAACATGAACTAAAATTTTTAAAATAATTGTTATTATGATTTAGCAGGGGGAAAAGAATACCAGATGGTTCAAAAGTTGAAACTAGAAGTGGATTTATACAATTTGTACCATCACTTTATATATTTTTGCCGAACATCCGAGAATCTCAAAAAGCATATATGTATGTATGTGTATATAAGGAATGAATGATGATTTAAAAATCGAAATTTAGTAAATAGAAAGTCAAAGAAATCAATTAATACTTGGCAAGAATTTATCACTTTCGTTGTTCTATGAATTCCGCGTTCGAAATTTGTTGGTTTACTAATCCCAAATATTTTGTCACCTCTTTTTTTTCTTTTTCCAACGCTTGAATTAATATTATGTGAAAGGATTTATATAATAAGATCCTTCATGAATGAATAAACCAACTTGCTGTTAAAAATTGGTTTCTTATTACCTGCAGAATACACGTTGAAGGGAAAATAAAAAAAATCAATAAAAATAGATGGCTTCCTTCTGTAACCATAAGTTCAATTCCTTCAATTACATTAATGTTTCTTTTACATTCTCTTGTTCAGTTAGTACTTTTTGGTATCATGGAAATTCGTGTCACATGAAGTTTTTTTTAAAATATCTCGTTATTTTTATAATAAACTCGAACTTTGTTGTTAGAGTAAATTGAAAGTACTCCATTAAAGCTTTCTAATGAATACCTTTTCATATTGAAAAGTTTTCTCTACATGAATTCACGACTATTCAAAAAAGTTATTACTTTTTCACTTCAAAGCTCAGATTATTTTTCAATATCGCTTTGAAAGGCTTGATAGTAAATGAGAAGGTGTAAAATACCTTAAGCTTTCATATAGTTATTACTTTATCGGGGGTATTGGTTAATAAGTTTTAGAGAGGTTCACGAAAAACTATTTTATAGAAATTTAATAGTCATGAAGAACTTTATGTAGATGGTATTCAGCAAAAACTAAAAGGTATTTTATTTATATTCCTGACTTTATATTGATTAAAGTTTTATTAATGATTATTATAAATATCCATCAATCAGTAGTTGTTATATCAAACGACGACAACAAATCATTATATCAACAAAGTTTTTTTTTTTTTAATAAAAAAAAAATCCTTTGTCCGGATTTTTTCTTCATGTTTATTTATTTATCCCAGATTAAAGGTCAATGAGATCGATTAGTTTTTTTTTCAAGTCTAACGCTATAGAAGAATAAGATTCATGCAAACATCAAAAATCATTTACAAATTTCGGTTGTTAAAAAAAAAAGATTAAGATCCTTTGCAAAGATTAATATCAATGGATTTTATTTGTTTTCTGCGAAAGGAAATTAAAAATAAAATCATCCACTATCTCTCAAATGGTCAAATCAAAAACAATCTGTACATATTGTTTGTTTATCGATCATTGAATTGACGATAATAATAATAACAAAATAAAATGCAAAAAGGTGTTTTTGAATCCCGGTCTCGTGACCCGAAAATATACTAACACTAACACGTTGTGTGATAAGTCTTTGACGATTTGGGATCTGAGGTAAAGGCTCCAAGGTAATTTCAAACGTCTAAAATATCGGAGAAAAAGACGAAGACCTAACGGTAGACAATGATATACACCACGTAAAAAACATCTAAAGCGAAACACAATTTCCTTTCAGTCAAGTAACTGCTCCGCTTGAACCTGACGTTTTGAAGAAAAATAGATGAGTTTTTCGGTTACCAAATAGATAGAAATGGGAATTTGCATGATATGGCGATGTAAAAATAACCATAAACATTTATCATTTTTGGAAAACGAAAATATTTTTGCTCAAATAACAATTTTTAACAAATTAATTCAAGTCAACATAGCCAAAAAAGAAGAAAACGACTCATTACCCTTTGATTTTGATCTCATCCTTCCCAACAATTCGATTTACTAAAGTTGAGCAAAATGAAAATATTACACAATATAAAAATCTACGCAAAAATTACGCCATTTAGAAAGGAACTGTAACACAGCAATCTTTTTTTTACATATTAATATTAATATGTATTAGGAAAAAATTAATGTAACCATTGTCTCAAAAAAAAAAATTCCACTCGAAAAACATCAAGTTATATTTTTATATAATGTCACCATTATCACCAGAAAGAAAGGAATTTGTAAATAAAATTTATGCTGAAATACTTAATAATGCAGCAGTTAATTCTGATAGAGAAAGTAGAAAAGATTTTTTTTTTTCATTAGTCAAGAAAAACAAGGAGCTTTCTGAAAATGAAAAAAAATTTTGCAAAGAAAGATTTATTTATGATTTTGAATTAATTAATGCAAGAGATAAATCAGGCCAACAAAAAGAATGTAACAAGTGTAAATTGACAAGATATTCTGATAAATTCTGTGAAGGTTGCATTAGTTTACACTTACAGAGTACCACTTTGACATCTGGAAATAAAATAATTGATGATTTTA